CCTCCCTTTCAGCTGGAGGAACGGCCTTGATCATAGACTTGGCCACCTCGACCAAGTCAGGCCCCTGAGGGCCGGCTGCATCAAGCATAAACAAACGGATTAGACCTAGTAAAAAAGGGAGCAAGTCTAAAATTTACAAGGACAACTTCATACTTCTAGGCGGCCCAGCTGGAGTTTTAGAAGAAGTGGCCGGCTGTTTCTCAGCCGCCGCATGTTTCCTGGCAGAACCAGGAGAGCTCACAACAGTCGTCCTCCGAGCCTTGGGGTCCGGCTGTTGGGAAGAAGAAGCTCTTGGAGCGCCCGTCTAAAAAAGAAGAAGTCAGTATATGCATAAACAACTCCAAAAAGAGGGTGAAAGGTTCGAAGCCCACCAAGGGTGCCCCCTTGTTGGGGGAGTCGGTTGAAGCTTGTTGCATGATGGAGGCCCGCAACATGGCCGCCGCAGTCTTAGAGGCGGTAATTTTGCTCATGGCGTCCGCTGCAAAAACAAATAGCAAAGTTAATAAAAGTCATAACAAGAAATGCATGGAACAACAGAGTATTCGACAGGCCGGCTACCTCTTGAGCACCGACTGCTGAGGCCACAGGCGGCCAAAAAGTACTCGTCGTAGAGCCATTTGAAGCTCGGGACGCAGTGCAGGGGTACTTGCTCTCGTACCCCTGAAGTAGAGTGCACCTTCGACTCTACTTTGAAGAGTCCTTTATCTAGGATCTCTTTCTTAGCCTTGGGGGGAACAGGCGGCATGCTGCGGCCGCCTGCAAGAAGGGGCAGATTCCTGTTCCACCTGTTGAAGCGCTTGTTCAGCTCTGTGTCTGAACTCTCAATGATGAGGAAGGTGCTCCGATAGTCCTTCCATTTGTTTGCTTTACCTCTCGTCATGAGGTAGCCCCTGTGGCTCGTCAATTGATACTAGCCGGTACCGCCTGCCTTAGGGGTCCGGCTGAGGTAGTTCATGTGGGCGAAAGCCTCGAAGCTTGGCTCCACCCCGTGCAGTTCGCACCCGGCCACATAGCCGAGTACATTGACCCAGGAGTTCGGGGCTAACTGCCATAACTCCAACTCATACCCATCCAAGATCCGCTGAACAGCCGGATGTAGTGGGAAGCGCAGCCCAGCCTTGATGGCCGCCTCGTAGCAGCCAAAGCAGGCACTATCATAACTGGTACCAGCCGGCCAGACGACTGTGTCTTCTGGATCCGGCACAAACACTAAAAAGCCGGGGGCCATTGTGTGGTTTGCGATAAAGCTCTCCACTTTCTCTTGCATGGCCGTGATTCGGCCCCGAGGTACCGTGTAGTAGTAGGGGGTATTTTGCTCTCGGTAAGAGGCGGATGGCTCCGCCCAATCGTCCCCCTTCTCAACTGCGTGAGAAAGTCTCGCCTCTTGCAGGCGACTGTTTTTCTCTTATGTGTCCAAAGAAGCATGGCCAGAAGAGCTAGACTCGGAATCGTCCTCTGACGAGTCCGAAGAGGACGACTCCTCCCCTCTCCCGGAGGGGCCCGCCTCCTCTCCTTTAAAAGGAGCAGGAGAGAATGAAGAATTGTCAACTGTAAAAAGGGAAGGGGTCACTTTGACTCCTCCCTTAGAACTGCCGGCTTTCAAGCCGCTTTGTTTCACTTCCGCATCTGGCGCCTGGTCAGATGTTTCACTAATCGGCACCCTGTGGGAGGAGCCGTCTGAATTTGAGATCCTGACTGTCTTTTTTGTTCTGGCCATCATGCTCTGCATAGACACAGATACAGTCGGACTTTGTATAAAGGGCAAAGATGGGTCCAGAAAAGGGCAGGCGGCACTCCTAGTCCTAGATTCAGCCGTCCCCGGTGACCGGCTGATCACTAACCTAGGTCGTGTCGTGTGCTTCCGTGGTGCCATTTCAAAAAAGAATAAAGAGAAAATTAAGAGTAAGAGAACCGACGGTTACCTGAACGAGTGACGGTTGATGAAGTTCTGAAAATCCTTTGCAGTCGGCTTGTCAGAGCAGGCGGTAGGCAGAAAGAGTCCAAAATGTCAGAGCAAGTTCAGGGGTCCGAATGTTCTCTCACAAAGTTCTCAAGTGTGAATGACTGAAGTCAACACTCCCTTATATATAGGCGAAGTGAGAAGGCGAAGGGTCACTTCCAGAATTCATAATTTGGGCGGGAGAATCTCTCGGCCTTTCGCCGAGTGACACCTGTAGCAGGTCGTCGCCTGTTACAGTGCGACACCTGTCACAGGTAACACGTGACCAGTCACGTGCCACCTGTGAGGGGCAAATGATTAGGGGATTTTGCTCCCACCAATCGGAATGCGCCACGTGGGCCAATCAGGTCCTGCCAAGTGTCCCTCAGTTGGAACTGTCAGGGCTTGCCACGTGGCACCCGCTTATTTGTCCACCTTGGACCTATTATGTCATGACACGTGGCATACTCCATGCCTAATGGAGAAACCGGCTACCCAGGCCCAACTTCCGAGGGAAGCCCAATCAGCCCTAGGTTAACCTAAACCTAGGATTAGCACGTTTCCCAAGGTTATAAATACCTCCCTTAATCCTCATTAAGGGAGATGACATGAATAACAGGCTAATCACGCTAAAAAAGCAGATTACCTACATTAAACACTCTCACCTAGAGAGACCCAATCACTTTAATTTCCGCATTAATTACTCCTTAATCAAGTACTAACTTGACCGTTGGAGGCGGAGCTCCCACCACCAGGAGTCTCCGTTGTTTTGCAGGTACAGGCGTCCGGTTCCAGTCTCGGAATTGTAACTCTCCCGCAGGACATCAGAAAACCCCGAAACAAGAAGAATTTGCAAGCAATAGCTGAGAAATATGGTTTGAATGTCGATGATTAGTTTATTTATTTATTTATTTCAATTCAATTAAGTAAATTTTATTCTGTTAGTTTTTATGTATTTGGTTGATTTCTTTTGCTTATTTTTTTGCTAATCAAATATAATGTAAGTTGATTTCAATGAATAAAACAATTATTAGTTCTTTTTTTTTTTTTGGTGAGGATAGTATTAGAGATAATATCAGGAGAATATCTTGATATTATTCTCATCATGTATCACTCCTATAATGCCGACAAGATTAATCATATAAGATTAGTTCCTTTGATCTTGCATGCCTATTATGCCTAACTTATATCAATCATAATATTATAGTATAGTTGTACTACATTATTATTGTAAACGTTTTTATTTCTTTTCTATTATAGCTAACTCTCTTGTAATTATAATTGTATTTGATACTTCTTGAATTGCAATACAAAACACCTTTGATCCTTTCACATATTGGCATGCAAACGGTGGTTCAGCTAATCTAGTTAGTTGTATATATCTAATTATCACCGTTTGCATAATTATAGTAATTTGTTCTAACCTAAAACACAAACAACGACAAGGATAACTACTATACTAAAAATTTAAAGGAACTATCTAGAAAGAATTGCTAAAAGATTTGATTGATACGGTGATTATATATCTAGTTAGTTGTATTTATCTAGTTATGCAAACGGTGATTATGTATACTACGTATATTTATCATATATTATATAATTACGGTGATTATGCTACGGTGATTATGCAAGAGTTTAGCACTATCCTAGGCTATAATCTAGGAAACTAATTACACTAAAAACGTATAACAGAAGCAATAAACTAGGGAGATAATCTTTAGAGAAATTATCAACTTTGACTAAATACAAATATGTACCATATATTTAACGGTTTTTTCATCATATACCCCTGAGTTTTTTGTTAATTCACCAAATACCCATGAAAATTTTAAAATTCGCCATATACCCCTAACTTATTACAAAAATTCACTATATACCCCTAATGAAAATAAAATGAGTGGAATTTGGTTAATTATACCTCGAAACCACCTTAGATCTCTCCCCCTCACCCCCAAAATCACTCCTCTTCTTTTTCCAACCCCCTAAACCACTCCAAATCTCCATAATCATATTTGTATGATTGATTTTGAGGATGAGAAAAGTAAATTTAGGGTGGTTTGGGGGTGGGAAAAAGGAATGTGGGTAGTTTTGGAGGTAAGGGAATGTATTTAGGATGGTTTCGGTTCATAATTAACTTTAATGATTGACAAAATTAAAAATCATTAGTCATCAAGGGTATATGGTGTATCTTTGTAAAAACTCGGGGGTATATGATGAATTTACAAAAGTTCAGGGGTATATGGTGAATAAACAAAAAACTCAGGGGCATATGGTGAAAAACCCGTATATTTAACAATTGTATATTTCTAATTTACTTAATTTATATTTACTTCCCTCACTTTTAGTAAATGGTTCAGCTAATCTAGTTAGTTGTCAAACATTTAACTTTTAGTATATTTTAGTAAGCTAATTTAATTTGTAGCCTAACTTCAAGCTTCCAATTTGTACATATCTATGATTTACAATACAACAATAACGTAATTTATTTCCAATTTGTACATATCCGAGTAAAATTGTAGCTCGTTGACTACTACTTTCAACAAATGCTTCATTAAACATATTATAAAATAACAATTAAATTTCAAATATCAAACTTTGTTTAGATATTGGTAGTTTCAAATATAGTAGTTAAAAAATAGTCGTTGAAGTATTTAATTTTTGAAAAGTTGTTGAACAAAGGCTATAAGTTAGAAATATATAAATTTTATCCCCCATCACAACTCACATACTCTCTTTCTTGAATAATTATAACACTCTTAATACCATCTTTTTCAACCTAATAATTGGGAACTATGTCAAATGTCGTCAATGGCCAGCAAATAATTGACAAATACATTGAGAGCTTCTTAAATTCATATGTAGAAGATACTATTACTTTTGATATGTTAACAAGTATCAACGTTGCAATTACACAAGTTGTCTCATCCTCTACTAAAAACACTAGAAAAAACGAAATCCTGACACTGATAGGCGTCGTGAAGAAGGCTATCTAAGAATATGGAATGATTACTTCTCTAACAGTCCTATATATTTAGATGATCAATTTCGGCGAAGGTTTCGAATGAGGAGGAGTTTGTTCCTTCATATTGTAAATAATCTAGAAGATCATTACGAGTATTTTAAACAAAGATATGATGCTGTTGGTAGAAAAGGATTATCCCCTCTTCAAAAGTGCACTGCGGCAATGAGAATGTTGGCGTATGGGGTTTCAGGCGATGCTATAGATGATTATGTGAGGATTTCTGGAAACACGGCAATTGAGTGCCTTAAAAAATTTTGTATTGGTATCAATGAGATATTTGAGAAGCCATACAACTGATGACATTCATAACATACTTGAGGAATCGGAGCGTTGTGGTTTTCCGGGTATGCTTGGTAGCATCGATTGTATGCATTGGAAGTGGGAGAAATGTCCGGTCGCATGGCAAGGCATGTACACCCGAGGTGATCAAGGTAAGCCCACTATGATTCTTGAAGCTGTAGCTTCTTATGATTTGTAGATTTGGCATGCATACTTCGGAGTTGCAGGATCTAACAATGATATCAATGTGTTGGATCGCTTGCCAATATTTAATAATTTTCTTGAAGGATGTGGTCCTGAAGTTCAATTTACTTTAAATGGATCAATATACAATATGGGATACTATCTTGCAGATGGGATTTATCCAGAATGACCAGTTTTTGTAAAAACCATTCCTCGGGCAGATTTGTTATCAGAGAAGAGGAAGTTGTTTGCAAGACTTCAAGAAGGTGCAAGAAAGGATATCGAACGAGCATTTGGGGTGTTACAAAAAAGATTTGCAATAGTTTCTAACCCAGCACGTCTTTGGGGTAAACATGAGGTTGGAGATGTCATGCAAGCATGCATTATATTGCATAATAAGATCATCGAGGATGAAAGAAATGACATAGCATTAGATGCAGAAGTATCATATGATAGAGCTAGGAGTCAAGGAGATGGACCCCAAGTGCAGGCTGGTCTCCTTCCAAATTATATGCCAATCGTGAAAAATACTTTGAGAACCATCGAAGACTTAGAAATCGGAGAAGACATCATCAATTGCAACATGATTCGGTTGAACATTTGTGGAGTCGTTTTGGGGGAAGTGATATTTGAATTCAAATCAATTTTACATTAGTCATTTTTATTTTACATTTATAACTATTTAATGCAATATGTGTAATTTTAAAATTTCATGCATTTTAAAATCAATTAAATTCATGTAGTTTCATTATAATTGATTTTTTTGCTTGATCATTTTGCTATTATTTTTTCAACTATGACATCTAAATTGGGTTAGAAATTTGTTACCCCACTGTGAATATTTATATCATATTAAAATTATATATGTATTCCGAAAAAATATATATTGAAATATATATGTTAAAAGACAAAAAAAATTAATAAATATTTTAAAGAAATCTAAAATAAGTCTTAGGATTGAAGAGATAAATCTGATTGAGTCTTAAGCAGTCTTAATATAATTAAAATTAAAAAAAATAATTAAATTTAATATAAAATCTGATGTAGCAATTAATTAAAATCTTAAGACTAGATATGGCTAATCTTGCTCTAAGTATAGATAGATTACAAGAAAAGTTAATTTTAACTGTGCATAGTACGATAATTTTAACCAACCTAGTATATATAGATATTATAATGTTATAGTCCCTCCGTTGCATATTACTCGCAATAAAGAGACGTTATTTGTACGACATAATTTTTTTTTTATTGCGAGTAATATATAACTGAAGGCGTACATTAGGAGGAAAAAAAAAACCATACTCCATATTGTGTATGACTGTATAAGTACTCCAGTATAAAGTTTTTTACCCCGTATACCAAACAAGTTAAAAAAATGTAACTTTGTAAGAAAAGTTGGCATTTTCCGAAAAAAGAAAAAGAATTGATTGAAAAATGAGGGACCACCCTCCACAATACGCAAACGAAAGACGCAACTGCTTGCTTACCAAAGCCAGGATAGTACACTGTACGAGTACTCCAAATTTCACATAACCCGGATTTGAACACCCATTTCCTTAACTCTATTTAACAATGGACCCTCACGTCCGAACCTTGTGGAAAAACACAACCCAATATTCAATTAAAATTAATTAAAAAAACAAAAATTTAAAATAAAAAAAAAAAATTAAAAAAGAAAAAAAAAAGGCGTTTTGTTTGGATTTCTCTTCTTCCTTCCTTCGTCAAAAAAGAGCGAATTCCTTCAATCGCGATTACACTGACATTTACACACCATAGAAGGTTAGACCAACAAAAGAGGAGAGAGAAAATCATCTTTACAACTTCCGCGTTTTCTCTCTCTAATTCATCTGCACTTTCTCTCTCCTCTCTGACTACGACGACGACTTTCCCCAATCTTCTGGTGATTTTCCCCTTTTTTTGGTATTAATAGGTGAATTTCTAGGTTTTTTTAGATTTTTATTTTTTGTGATTTTTTAAAGGCTTTTTTTAGTTGAATTTGCGGATTTTATTGTGATTTTTTTTTATATTTTTGATGAGGTTATTGATTGATTGGTTTGTTTGATTTTCGAATTTTGGTTTTGTTAATGGTGTGTATGATGAACATTAATTTATGAATTTTTGATTGTTTGTTTGTTGTGATTTAGGTGAAAATTTAGGTTACTTGAGTATGAGCTGCAGTCGTTAGTGTGCTTATTGGCTTTCTGTGTAGCAGTTGAGGTAGATACGTCGTGGTGGATCTTGCAGCTGAGTAATGGATTTGGTGGCTAGCTGTAAGGTATACATTTTTCGCCGTCTTCGTGTATATGTCACTATATATTGTGTTATGTGATTGAATTTGATTGATTTTTTATAAGATTGCAACACTCAATGGCGAAATGACAGTAAGGAGGAGTTTAGTTTTTTTGGCTATGTTGTTTATTTATGGCTGTGTATCATTTCTAGGCCGTCTTTTATGGTTAGAATGCCGCACTATATTGTTGATAATTATCGATGACTGGTGCACTGAAGTAAATTAGCTTATTTGTTTGGTGTCTAGGGTTGGTGCATTGAAATGTATTTATTTTTCGTATTTGGCGGCTGAGGGGTTATGAGAGGTGGGGAGCATAACAAGCTGCCTTGGTGTAGTTTATTCCTTTTATTGTCGTATTACTTTATTGTAATGTTGCCAGAATTCCTATAGGGAGCTAACGTAGAGAATGTGATTTGGCCTCATGGTGAAGGGCTTAATATTGGGTATTACAGGGAGCTAGTTTTCATTTGTAAAGGCAGGGCAACTGACCAAAATGTACGCTTGTATTAAAATTCAGTTTGGAGGGTTTGAAACTATCATATTTCACGTGAGTTGTGAGGTTGTTTGAGTAGTAGTGTCATAGTGTGCCATTGTCTTATAATTTTGGTTTTTTAGAAAGGGAACACTGTAGATTTCACACTTATTGATGATTTAAAGGAATAATTTTAGAAATAGATAGATATAAACGGTTTACATGGTCTTCCCAAGCGAAGTGTGATCTAGATTGACTTGGAAAATTAGAATATTTATAGAAGAGACCAAGAGAAATTTATGGTATCATGCTGCATGATGTATAGATAGAACTTAAATATGTAGGTCAAGAGAGGAAAAGAAACTAGATAATTGCCTCTTTAATGGATGTTCTTTGGTACATATTTTTTTTTTTGACAATTACATTGGAATAATGCCTATTTTTACTTTTGTAAAAAGTTATTGCTGTTTTAGTTGGTTGGTTAATTGGCTTCCGGGAAATTTCATGTGACACTTTAGCATCTCCTATGAGTCCTTGAATTTTTAGCTGTACATATCTTCTCTATTTTCTCTCTTTCTGGTGGACATTCTAGTATGCCAATTTGATATGTTTTTCAAGTCTTAAATTTTTATCATCCAAAAGTCTAGACTAAGCAAACTGTGGAGATAGTGGGAAACCCAACATGGTCACAATTTCAAGCCTCACCATCACTTATACTGCAGTGGGCATTCCATCTGTGTAGCTGTGCTAAGTCTGCTGGCTAAGCCGTGCGAATCCTCTTGGGTCTTTCCTTATTAAAAAATTATTAACCGTCTAGAAAATCTATGTTGGAGACTTGGACTAGGTCTTTTGTCTCAGTCCATAGAAAGCATGAGATAAACTCTCCAGTAATCTTGGAAGACTGTTGTTGTATGATGTCTTTCCTACTCTATATGGTGGTTTAGGGGAACAAGCCATTAACTTCATGTTCAGTGAAATGCAGTAATTATAGGATAGGTAGAGGCTGTTGTTTTAAATTTCACTTGATGACTTGAGGCTCTATTATCTATGTGATACTTGTGTAAATGTACATGAAGGAAATTATGAAGAATTTCTGTAGTATAGCCCTCATTTGTGTAGTTTATGATGTAAACATGATGCGAATTGCATCGCCTTGTGGTTTGTTTAGAGCTAAGTTGTACTTGTTTTCTCTTTAGAACCTTATTGTTATTTTATTTGTATATTTTATTATCATTGGTTTATATCTTTGACATGCGATAATGTTTTGTAGGACAAACTGCAGTATTTTAGAATTAAGGAGCTGAAGGATGTGTTGACTCAACTAGGTTTCTCTAAACAAGGAAAGAAGCAGGTGTGCAATGATTTATAGTTGTTTGCATTGCTAAATGTGGAGGACTTTAATGTTAGTGTTTTGAATGCTTTGTGACCTTTTTGTAAAACGACATTTAAGACTTCAAATTTTTTTTTTATACCTTTTGTTTTGATCTCTTTCATTTTTAGAGATAGCTGATTAGTGGTTTCTGTTACACTTCTTTACTTGCTTTAAAAAATGATTCATTTGTTGTAGAGGCTTATGCATTAGAATATGTCATTACATGAATGATTTCGAAATTGACTTCTGACCTCAAAACAATTCATTTCAATCTATTCCAAGGGTTTGTAGGATGATTGTTACTTTGTTGGGGTGAATCATGTTTGCTTTGGATCCGCCATTTATGTTTTGTTAGGTGTCTGGCCACTCTGCTTTTTGAGAAGAGTTTCTTATGTGTATTTGCTGTTCAGAGTTAGTAAATATCGCCTGTCTTGGACATGCACATGGACATTATATTGGGCTTCAGTGATATATAATGATACATATTGATTACATTTGGGATTCCCACAAACTCAAACCTAACTAAATGTCTCACAATTTTGTATCCATATTCTATGTAGAGTTCTATTATCAGTATTATGTGTTTCGGAAGTAAAGGATCAAAGATCTTGGAGCTAAGCTGCTATAGGTGTGAGGCTAAGATAAATTGTGTATTTTCTTTAATAAACCTTTCTTGTTTTTGAAATCTGAATCATATATCCTCCATTCTTTTATGATCGCAACGTTGGGGATTTTACACTTTCAGTGCACATTTTATAATTTAAATACCTTTAATTGTATTTTTGTAAAAATTATAAAGGTAATATTATGAAAGTAAATTTCGGGATGAATATAACAAGATCCCATATGATTATATTTTTTCTAAGATATAAATCACAAAAGATGATGGAATGTGTGTGAATAGTGTAATTTTCCAAACGTTGCGATTAAAAAAGAACGGAGGAAGTATTGTTTTATCGATATTTGTCATCTTTCAAAATTACTTATTAGATAAGGGAACGTTTGAGAAGAGCGGGAAAATCTTTTGATGGATCTCTACAAGATTTGGCTGAAGTT